GCCATGGACCAGGACACAGTGGGAAACATCACTACCTAGCTCCAGAGGGCAGAGCCTGGCCAGGGATGCCTTCTGCTGTTCCTGGCTTACTTATTCATACATGTCCAAACACTGCATGGTATGTGGGAGTGGGGGGGTGGGGTTACGGTGCAACACTGGGGCCAGCAATCCACTGAGGGACATCGTCAGCTGTCACATGGAAACCTGGGGGGTGAGTGAGAAGCGGCAAAGTGAGGGAACAATGCCAATAAGCTAACAGGATTCCGTAGTCACTCCTTGCCTGGGGTCTCCGCGTTGGCTGGATGGTTCGTGTACAGCATGCAGCCTGTGCACACACCTGCACATGCCCGTGCCTTGCTGTCGCCACCTCTGGAACAGTCTTGTATGTGGTCTCCTGCTCTCTGGAAAGCACAGGGCACAGAGCCCAGCCGGATCTCTGAGAGCCCAGGCCCTAGAGGTTCATGGGAAAAGGCCATTCGCAGTCCAGGGCAATGACCAGGAGGCTAATTTTAACCACGAGAGCAGACTGACCTTGGTACTGGCAAGGGCTTCAACAGAGATGGCCCTAGATGGTACCCTGGCCCTTCTAGAAGGCAGCAGCCTGAGATAGCGTACTCCCCTCGCTCTCTCCCACCTCCCCCATCCCTGTCAGCTCCTGGGCAGCGTTCTCTCCACCTCATCAGTCCTCAGGAATCTTCCCTCCAGCCCCGAGACTGGCTCCTGTCAGCCCCCGTCAGCCTACGCTGCCTACACACGCAGACCTGGTGGTCCAGGGGCCAAGGTACAAGGTGGACATAGGGAGAACAGGTTGGGGATCTGGGGGAGCTAGAATCTGGCAGGCAAGGCCCCCAGGAGACTCCAGGGAAGGTGTTATATGGCCTGGTTTTCCCCTTCAATGTGTCCAAGGGAAGGGATGTGCATGTATTCATGGTGTCCGGCTGTGCAGACGCAGAACCCTGGGCCTGGAATTTTCCCAACATCACACAAACTCTCCACAAGATGGAGAAGAGAAGTAACTGACCAGGGTCCCTGAGCCCAGCTGAGGGAGAGGCAAGGGGTGACTCCCTCCCAGCTGGTTCTTCCACGGCTTGCCCACGCACAGCAAGGGAGGGAGCCACAGCAAGATGAGGGCTGAACTCAGGCCCTGCGATTCCACCACAGTCACCTGCTCAGGCCCCTGTGCTTTCTGGTCCCACATCTCCCAGGACACTGGGAGCTGAAGAAGGCTCCGCAGAGTCAGGGAGAGGCTTGACTCACCTGTCAGGGTCCCAGTGAGGGAGACTGACAGGAACGTCTCCTTCAGAGTCATGGTTTGTTCATCAAAAAATGAGAGGAGGACTGTAGCCTACTCCCGAGGGCTGAGACGTGGCCTGAGAAGAACATGTGTGAAGCCTAGACACAATGACACACTGGGAATGTCCTTGATTGGGAGCAGAGTATCCTTGCTTCATGGAGGGGTGGAGACAGACGCTCTCCTTGGGAGGATGTTTTTCTCTAGGCTTAAGTGTGACCTCAGAAAGTAATGAAGTTGCCACCTTCCATGATAGCACCCACAAGTTCAACTCAACAGTGTCCCGGACACTCTCTGGTGATGTCGGGCAGAGATGTGACTCTATGAATTATGGGATGGTGACCTCATGAAAAAGGACTCTTTAGGACGGGGACAACTGGGACACCATCCAGAAGCAAGTCCGCCAGCCAGAGGCCTGCATCTCTCTTCCTTGCTTCCTGTCGTTTTCCATGACCCGCAGTTCCCTTGCTGACCTGGAGTTTGCTTAACCTCTGCAAAAATATTCCTGGGGCCTCGTTAGTCCTAGGGTGTATCCCCTGCTCCCCGTTTGTCACTGAGTCCTACAGTGCCAGGCATTCAGGGGTGCTGGGAGCCAAGGTCCTAATCCCACTTCCTAGGGTGCCGTGGTGAGCGTAGTCTAGGTGTCTCTTTGGGTATGTTGTCAGATAAGTGAAGATGTCTGAGACCAGACGCAGCACGGGAAGGCCCCACAGTGTGCGCAGAGCTGTGCTGTCCCAAACGCAGCTCGTCTGTAGGAGTGATTGCTCTAGAGATGATTCCCTGTGCTGGAAAGGAGGTGCCTAGTACTGGCTGTGGAACAGGGCTTCTCAGGGAGCGGCCATTCTGGGTGGGGAGTTCTTAAGTGTCTATTTCGTCACATATTTCCGCTTTCTGAAGAAGCCAGAGCAAGTCACCCTCTGTCATCAAACAGCTGAGGTAACTGGCCAAGCAGATATCACCGTGCCACCCCAGGGCCTCAGGAAGACCCCTCATTCAGCCTCAGTTTCCCACCTGTGAGAGACTCAAGCTCATGCTGGGGTAGACAAGAGGTTTTTCCAGACAGCATTTGTGACTGTGTTCCGTTATCTTTTACAAGGCAGCCATGGAAGACGGTGACACCAGCAAGGACCGTATAAAATCGGAGGAAGCTCACTTCTCCCTCTCTCGATCCGGCGTATTGTGAGCTTCCTAACCCTGGCACCGTCACATCCTGTCTGCAAAGGTGGTTGCCTCTCTCTAGCTGTGTGGAGCGTTAACTGTGCCTCTCTCTCTCTCTGTGCTCACCTGTAGCATGAGGGCCTCCCGGGGTTGCAGACACTGGCACTTAGTACTCAATACTGACCGTCTCTAAAGCTCCCGTTTGCATGGTATGAAGATTCTACACCGTGTGGAGCCAACCTTTCTTAGTGATGCTCCACACTAGCTGGGGTGTGGGCTAAGCCCACGAGCTACGTCTGTGGGAGGCCTGGGAGTCCCTCCGGTTTCCCGCTCTGTCTTCGGCACTGTCTCTCTCTCTATCACTCTGAGACACACGTCTTGGCTGAGAGTGACAATTCTGAGTGGGGTTGTGAGCAGCAGGTCCACCTGGGGATATCTGGTGAGAGTCACCAGGGGGAGGTTCTTTCGTGGACCCCGGATAATGTGGGGCCGGCCGAGCAAGCAGGCAGGGTCTGAAGAGGTCCAGTCAGGACCTGCACAGTTGGGCCTCCCAGCCCAGCCCACGGCGCTGCCAAGCCTGGTGTCCAGTGGTACAGCAAAGTGTAGAGGCCCCAGGCAGCGGAGACTACCAGGAGCATGTGACACACCCTATAACACCAAAACATCTCTGAACTGAGGACTTCCAGGTACCAAATCAAGACAGCTTGAGTTATGACAAGTGATGTGGGACCGTGCCCTCAATCCATTAGCACAAGTACTATGAAAACAAAGCAAAGCAGAAGGACATAAAGCCGCGAGCGCCGTGAAGACATGGGGGACTATAACCTCAGACACAGCGGATGAAGAAAAATGATGCGACCTCTGAACAGTATATTGGTTCCTCAGAATCAAGCCTCAAATGGCCATTTACTCCAGCTATGGGTCCAGAAGGTATACATGTTCACAGCTGAGTTATCACAAAATGTCTACCAACAGACAAGGGGACAAAGACGAAGTGTCTTGCCTACTAAGTGGCATAGTACTCAGCCTCATAAAGGAGAATAGGGGACAACATTAGCCTGTGCCCATTTCACAGATGGAGGAAACTGATGCTCAGAGGTGTGATGCCCTGTACCACATATCCTGTGAGAGGAAGTGCTTGGACTTGAACTCAGTGTTCACCTCATCCCAGAGACCCATTGTGTCTCATTTTGTAGGCTGATGTGGCCTGGTTCTGGAAAAACAGATGCCTATCTCAGGTCATAATGGTCCTGGGGTTTCCAGGCTCAGTGCGTATCCTTCACCAGAGCTCTGGGCATGGGGGCAACTGTCATATGACCAGATGTCTCAGGCACAGGCCACTGGCCAGGGTCTTCCATGCCCACCACCATGGTGGGAGAACACAGCATTCCACAGGCACCGTCCCTCCCGTTAGCAAGATGAGTTCCCCCCCCCAGCTGATGTTTTCCCCTAGTCCCATTTTCTCTGCTTTGCTGTGTCTCTTTACATACCCCCCCTCCCGTGTCACCTTATGATTAGAATGTGGAAGGCTCTTTGTCCTATATAAATTTGTGACCAGGAACACACAAGAGAAGCTTCATTCAGTGCGGGGAAAGCACGCCCCCTTGTGGAGAGTGTCTATAATGGGCTCCAGCCTCAGCTGGCCCAGGATGAATGAAGGGCAAAGGCTTTGCCAGAGTGAGCCAGACTTTTATGTTGCCTTTCCACCAGAGCTGGGAAGAGCCACAGGGCATTCATCTGGAGCCAGAACTCCTGGGAAATACGTCCCAGCAGCCCACTCCACTTAGCTGCCTAGATCTGGATCCTGGGTGGTTATTAGTGCCCGCTGGAGATATTTAAATATGACACCACAGGCCGTGGAATGGGCTTGATGAGAATTCTAGCTCTGCATACATGTGTTTGAATTCCCAGTGACCGTGTGAAATGCCAAACATCATCGTGGGTGCCTGTAACCTCAGCATGCAGGGAGACATAGGGCAGAGACACCGGGAGAGTCCTAGGTCAGGAAGACGATTCTGAATAATTTGGGCTTGATGGATCCATGCCCTTGAGCTTCTGTGGAACACAGTGTGTCAACATCAGCCCCTCAGGAGGAGTAAGTGTGCTCACTATTGCAAGATGTCAATAACTAAGAAGGCTGAAGGTGCATGGTTTATGGGAGACTGGACTCTTCCTGCTTATTTTTCTGTAAACTTAAATCGCCCCCCTCCAAATACCTAAATAAATAAAATAGGATGTGTGGGACACGGAAAAACAGGTAAGAGAGCTGCCACTCTTGGGGGATTCCCCACCCCATCTCACGGTTTTCTCGCTGTTCTGGGGGAACTCAATGAGCCAGGAACTTGCTTCCATGGAGCCCAGGAGGTCCGGACACAGGGTTTGTGTGGTGAGATCGCCACCTTCTGGCCAGGAAAGGAATAGCCGCTTGTGCCCAGTGTCCTTAGCTGGGAGTTCGATTGGGGGAGGGGGTGGCGCTCAGGGTGCTTCCACCTCCTGTATACGCCCTGTGTGTCACATCTGATTCTGTCACCAGTAAAGACCTGGAAAAAGATAAGACTCTCGTGGCTTTATTATAGAAAAGTCTCAAAGTGTGGGGCACAGCCAGGCCTGGGCTACCTGGAGGATTGGTCCCTGGGTCTGGAGCAGACGGGGAGGCACTTGCTGGTGAGGCTCTGAAGGTCAGAGATGTAGGAGCTCTGGCTGCCTGCCACCAGACACCTCTGTGTTACGACAGCCTTACACTGTCCGTCACTAACAGTTCAGACTCAGCTCTCAGCACCCTCCCCGTCCCGAACACAATTGGAGGTAAGTTATAATACAATCCTTGCTTGTTTTACATTCAAGGAATAGTAGACACAGAGTAGCTAGGTCACTTTCCCAAAGACACACAGCCAGTGCAGTGCAGACCAAGGCTCTGCCCCGACAGTCCATGCCCTACTGTGAAGCCACCTTTGTCTCCTGGTTCCTTCATCTGAAAAGTAGACATGCTGTCCTACTCTGACTTTGCTGCCTGTCTGGTCTAGAAGAAGAGCCAGGTATGACCGTATTGACTCAAAGTAAGCATCTAGCAGGAGGCTCAGACAGGGACTCCCCGCAGAGCCATGTGTGACTAGGGCTGCAGCTCATACTGGCCCTCTGTGGCTGTGTAGAAGTCCTCCAGCACCGACTGCAGAAACTCGAAGGTGGGTCTCTCCTCTGGCCGGCCTCGCCAGCACTCAGTGATGATGTCATGGTACAACTCCGGTGGACATGTCTCTGGGCACGGCATACGATAGCCATGCTCTAGGCTGCGGATGACCTCAGGGTTGCTCATTCCTGCAGGAGGGTGGACAGGGTGCTTCAGAGCAGATGGTACCCCAGGGGGGCAGTCACTGGCCCTGGGGGCAGTAAACCAGCACTAGATGGGAGAGAGCAGGCTCTGATACACTATGGCCAGTCTAACTCTGGAAGGTCACATAGATGTTGGGGTTGCACCACTTTGTTTTTGTAGACAGGGTTTTCTCATATAGCCCAGGTTAGCCTTGAACTCAGGATCTATCTGTCTCAGCCTCCCAAGTGCTGGGATCACAAGCTTGAGCCATTATGTCCAGCTGTGGGGCCATCTAATTTCTTTTTCCTAATCTGTGTGTGTGAGTGAGAGCAGAAAATGGGCAGAGGGCAAACTTGCAATGTCAATCGTTGCTTTCATTCCTGTTTGAGACGGGGTCTCTTCATGTTATTTACCACTGCAAACTCCAGGCTAGGTGACCCTTGAGCTTCTGGGGCCTCTTCCATTTCCCCCCCATCTCACTGTATGAGTGCCAGGATTGCAGACCTGCTCTGCTGAGCCCAGCGCTACCCCTGGGTTCAGGGAAACCAGGATTAGGTCCTCCATGCTTGCCTAGCGCTTGCCTAGCAAGTGTTTTACACACACACACACACACACACACACGTGCGCACACGCACACACACACACACACACACACACACACACACACCTGAGCCATCTCTTCAGCCTTGGTGGCTGGAAAGATGTGGTGACCTATTTAAGGTTGACTTTTGCTTTCCACTGTTTGGGGAAGAGCTGGGAGGGAGCTGTGGGATTTCCAGTGATCATTTCAGCTTCTCCTGGGTGTGACCTAGGTAAATATTCACTGGAGGGGATGCTGTGGAAAACACCCATCCACAGCTGCTGCCTGGGCTCTCCTGACTTGGGCAGGAGTCTAGGCAGGTCCTCACCTCAGGACAGAGCTTTGGAGATCCCACCCTGAGGGCTGGGGGAAGCTGAAAATCTCGTCCTCAACCTACCAGCTGTCTCCTTGCATTTACTGTGCTTGCTCCTGGGGATCTATATGAGCTCTGTGGGAGGAAAGGATGAAGCCCCATGGTCCTGAGCAATGCTAGCAAGGAGACGGAAGCCCACAACCAAAATGCAGGTCTGGGCCTCGGTCCCTGTGACAGGACCCGGCCCTGACCAGTACATGGTACCTGGAGGCACTGAGCCTGGGGAGTTGCCATCAGGAGGTTCCAGAAGGGTGGTGAGAAATCCAGGCACAGTACCTACCTGGGTAGGGAACGCGCCCATATGTGATGATCTCCATCAGCAGGACTCCGAAGGACCATACATCAGCCTTGATGGTGAACACACCGAAGTGGATGGCCTCTGGGGCAGTCCACTTGATGGGGAACTTGGCCCCTGCCAGGAAAGGGCATTAGTTCCAGGGACGTCGGACTCTCCACCCTCATCCCACAGCAGCCCGGCTGTGTGGGATATTTGTACACTGTGTGTAAATGCATTGATTGCTGTGACTTGGTGTAATAGATGAACGGCCAATAGTTAGGCAGAAGGTACAGGTGCGACTTCCGGACAGAGAGAGGAAGCAGGAGGAAATAATCGAGGAGCAGAGGAGACACCAACAAGACATGGAGGGAGTTGGACATCCGGAATGAAAGAAGGGTAACAAGCTACATGGTAAAATGTGCGTTAATAAAAGCAGGTTAATGCAAGTTATAAGAGCTGGTGGGACAAGCCTAAGCTAAGGCTGAGCTTTCATAAGTTAATAAGTCTCTGTGTCATTATTTGTGAGTTGGCTGCCCAAAGAAAAATCTGATTACACCGGGCACCTTCCTATATTCCCCCTGGGGATCTTTCAGGATCTGGTTACACAAGGATATAGGAAGACACAGTTGCTTGCCACTATCCTAGGAATCTTTAAAACCAGTGTCAACCCTCTGGATTACCAACACATGCTTCCATCAGGTTTTGTTTTGTTTGGTTTGGTGTTTTGGACATAGGGTCTTGTGTATCCCAGGCTGGCTTCAAACTTGATAGTAGCCAAAGATAACCTTGAACTCCTGATTCTCCTACTGCCACCTTCTGAGAGCTGGGATTACAGCTATGCACCACCATGCCCTGTTTCTACCGTGCTGGACATGATACCAAGGGCTCTGTACATGCCGGGGCAGTATCCTGCTAACCAAGCTATGAGTGCAGCCCTGAGCATCTCCATCTGGGAGGGAAGGGTCCTTTCCTATCTCACATGGCCTTGTTTAGTGGCAGGGACCATGGCATGGGTGAGCCATTTTAACCGGTCTGTGCTTCTGTCAGTCCTTTCCTGGAAAGGAAAACCTGACACACAGATGCACCTCTGAGGGTCACTGGGGTCTCCAGGCCATTGTGAATGAAGACTCCCAAGGTGCTCCTGTGTCTGAGGTGCTTCTCTGCCTACCCCATCCCATCCAGGGAAAGAAGTGCTGAACTAGCCGGAAAAGGGCCAGCATTGCAGCATACACAAGGCCTTGGGTCTCTCTACTCATATCCAGCGCCCAGGAGCCGTTCAGGGGGCCAGGGATTTGAGAAAGTGAAAGGCCTTCCCGTGTGTCAGGGGAGAGTCTGCTCACCCTCTTGAGCAGTGTATTCACTGTCGATGATCCTGGCCAAGCCAAAGTCGGCGATTTTGCAGCACAAGGTCTCAGACACCAGGATGTTGGCTGCCCGCAGGTCACGGTGGATGGAATTCATACGCTCTATGTAAGCCATGCCTTCTGCAATCTGAGGGGACAGGCCACACGGTGAAAGGCAGCAAGGATACAGCCCAGCAACCTGCACGAGGGGCCAGCCTCTCATCCCCCAGGCGATGAGGGACAAGGCTGGATGGGGGGAGAGAAAGCACCCCTCTTCCCCATGAGACCCGCCCAGAGACCAGGGCAACAGAGAAGGTGTCATCAAACAGCTAGGCTGACATCCCCACCCCTGTCCTCCCTTTCCAGGCAATGTCTCCAAGGTTCTGCAGGCCAGGAATAGCAGAAGAAGCCTGGAGCTATGGGAGAGGGAGAAGAGGGGATGGGCAGTGTGTAGATCAGTGGACACTTCTCTCAGAGGAGCCAAGCATGCTTGGAGTCACTAATGTCCAAGAGGGTGTGTCACTTCCTTGGGAGCAGGTGTCACAGTTCTGACTTGGAACTTGACAAGTCATCTCTTGGACACAGAGTTTGGATCAGTGCTGGATGAGCTGATTGTGACAGAGGCCCTGAACCTGCACCTACCCCAGGTGAGCACTTGGGGGCAGGTAAAGAGTGGAATCCAGGAATGGAGGTTCTCATAGAGGAGCACCCTTGTCTGCCCCAGGCACCTGCACCCAGTCATTAAGGCTTTAGTTCTCACTGATGACGGACCAAGTGACCTCAGCTCTCATCCATTCCCGCAGGCTGCTGGCCTCAGAACGGATCCTCTTTGTCCAGGAACTCAGCTGCATACACTCACAACTTCTCTGCTACTGAGCCACACCCCAGCCCCCGGCCCACATCTTCCGTTTTCACATGCTTCATGCACGAGTCTCCTCGTTTACTCCCTTGGGAAGCCACTCAGTCAGTCAGTATGTATGTGCTGGCGTGAGGCCGTGAGGGCTGGGAAGCCAGAGACCAAGCAGCTTCTATCAAGTCAGCACTGGTGGTGCTCACATTGTTAACTAACCCTGATTGGTCGTTTAAAATAAAAACCACTTGAGCACAGAAGACAGTAGGCCAATCTGCTTCTGTGGAAAAGAAGTTACAGGAGAGGGGGAGCCAGGGTTCTCTGGTAGCCCTCTTCTCTGGTGTTTTGTACCCAAGGGCACTAAAAAGGCTCCTTTATCCGTTAATGAGCCCAGGAGCAGAGTCAATGACCCCTCTTGTCCAGGAAAGCCTTGGCAGACACGACCTCTGACAAGGGCGGGTCCTAGGCACTGAATGGGAATCTTCAGACAGGCAGAGTCCAGGGCAGTCTGCACAGAATAGACGGGGGGATGACTGGGTGCTGAACAGACACTGTCCTTGTGGAAGCAGAGCCACATGGAGAGGGCCATTTTTCCTCGGGGGCGTGGCTTTATGCAGTGGGGTTAAAAGAGAATGGGCAAGGAGAAACAAGGGAGAGGAATGACAGGCTGCCAAGCATGAAGTGCCTGCCTCAAAGCCAGTGCCAGGGTTCACTCTCTGCGCCCATCCTACCGGCTGCCTCAGTAGGTCTCTGCTACCCCAGTGGAAAAAAAAAGGCACCGTGACCTCAGTTCCTGAGTTTGATACCAGGTGCGGAAAACACGGGGCAGTGTAGGAAGTCAGAGTGGGCAAGCGGGCATGTGGGTTAAAGCATGGGCAAGAAGGCTCCCTTCACAGCTCCGTATGTGTTGACAGTGTGTCGCACGGGCTGACCACAGACCACAGCCTTCTTGCTGAGAGCTCCAGTTTTAACTGCGGCACTCGGAGCCACCAGATGTGTCTTCCTGCCAGTTAGACCCCCCAGCTAGAATCCCCAGGGGAGGAAGATACTGCCCCCATCTTGATTCTGCCCTCACCTACGGAAGCTGAAGAGTTCTATACAAGAACCCAGAGGGAACCAAAGACCAGGACAGCTGAGGTCTGGAATTCCCTGCTCTCTCTCTCTCTCTCTCTCTCTCTCTCTCTCTCTCTCTCTCTCTCTCTCTCTCTCTCTCTCTCTCTCTCTCTCTCTGTGTGTGTGTGTAGTCAGTTATGTCTTTTGTACTCTGAGTGCCTCATGCCTGCCCATCAGGCTAGGGCCAGTTACAGGGCTGCATTAAGACTTATGGGCTCTGGGACAGGATGTATTGAGGGACAAAGTCATAGCAAAGCATATGTCCCTATTTACTAAACAGAATTCTTGCCTATTCCCTGGCTTTCCAACATCGCTTGCCATTTCTACCTTCCTAATATCCCATCATGGCTGCCCAGAATTGGAACTACATTTCCCAGACCACCTTGCAGCCAAGTAGTCATTGAGGCAAGTGGAGTGGGGAGGCAAGTATGTCCCTAGAAGGAAGAAGGTGGGATTTTATCCCATCCCCATCTTGCTAGCTAAGAAGAGACAGGGCTGGGTGGTAAAGCCAGCAAGCCACCTGGCATAGAAGACACCAGTGGGCAGAGCCTCTCATCGCCCACCTCTAGGTGCTTATACATTTAGTACTTCAGGGTCCTGTCCTTCACAACCCAGCCCACATCTGACCATCAGTCTCTCACCAGGGAATTCAGTGTAGTCAGAAAGCACAGAGGGTGTCATTGCTCCAGGCTGCCCCTGCTTCATAGCTCACCCACCTGGGCTGACATGTCAATCAGTCTGGGAAGGGACAATCTGTTACCTTCCTCCGTCTTCAGAAAATCCAGCAAGCATCCTAGGAAAAGAGAGACAGTAACTGCACAGTGACTAGACTCTGGCTCTGCTGTCCTGGTTTATGCAGCGTCTGCCTATGGCTGAAGAGCCTCATACTTCATGGAAACACTCTTCCCTAGACTTCCAAAAGTTAGTTCTCCATCAAGCTCAGGGGCTTGTCTGGAGTCTCTTGGATCAGCAGAGCTGGAGTTGAATGCCAGCTCTGGGCCCAAGGTCCTTTCCAAGCATGATGTCCCCACGTGCCTTCTTCCTTGATGGAGACTTCCCTGAGGGAAGCATTATCAAGAAGACACCAGAAGGGAGGGCTGGGGGCAGGTTAAAAAACGCGACTCCTCCCTGCCTGGTAGTTGGTCTTGAAAACTCAGCCTGGAGTCAGGCACCCAGAACAGTCTCTGATGCCGTCTCCCTTGGTGACAATTATTATAATAATATGGTCACAGAGGACCCACAGGAAGCAAGGTGATATCAGGGCCATAGGAGGGGCAAGATTCCTTAAGTAGAAGTCAGAGACAGGTCTGATCCCTGGCCAACTGTCCCCTGAGGAGACACTGCAGAGCTGCCAGGCCCCATCATCCTTGTCACCCCTACTGTGAAATGCTCACAGGCTTGCCCAAGTTCCCGTAGCTGGGAAGAGGTGGAGCTGGGTTATTAGATCCACTTTTAGATGCCCAGCTGACAGCTCTTCCTACTGTGCAAGGCTCTGTCCATCATACTGGTGACCACAGCATGACGTGTGTGCTGCAGAAACAAAACCAAGGCTCTCGAAACAGGGCCTGCTCTGGGCATGGAGAACACACTCCTGAAGCAAAACCCATGCTCTGGAAGGCTGAGCTTCCCCTCATCTGAGAACACAGCTCCGTGAAAATGATTCAACCTTGTTTCTCAGCCTCCCCTCTAAGATAAAGCTTACAGATTCCCCTAGAAACTCCCAGACCAGACAAACCCACCGCCATGTTCCACTGTTGTTTCCGCCCTCTAATCTCTGTCCTGCGGAGAGAGGGAGGGCCCCACCTCTGGCCATGTACTCAGTGACAATGTAGATGGGCTCTCTGGTGACCACAGCATAGAGACGGACCAGCCTCTCGTGCTGCAGGGTTTTCATCACATTGGCCTCGCCCAGGAAAGCTTCTGGAGACATAGTTCCCTCCTTCAGGGTCTTGACGGCCACCTTCACATTGTTTTTGTAATAACCTGATGGGGCAGGAGAATGAAGAAACCACCCAGACGTTGAGGAAAGACCTTCGCCACAGATTCAAGCCCTACTCTATGTGGGTCCAAGGTCCAAGCTGGGACATACAGTCCCTGAGCACACGTCTTGTGTAAGACGCCAGTCTGTCTGTGCAAAACCCACGATGGATCCTCAGAGGCTGTGGTCAGATTCATGCAGTCTGAGGGACTCGGACGACACCCACCAAAGGGTATAAAGCAATGGCTGGGCCTTGCTCTACCCAGGGTACTGAGTCTTTTGAGGGCCAGGTCTGTAGCTCCCACTAGAGGTGCCTCAGTTCTGGGTGGGAGACTTGGAGGCATCAGAATGGGACTTTGAAGTTGTGCCCTGGAGACATGGGCCAGGGCAGAATAAGACAAAGAGTCTGTGCTATGCTGGGACACTGATGTAAGTAAGCAGCCATGCGCAGCAATTACGATGGAATGGAGTGGGCACGGGGGCCTGAGCTACCACAGTCACACACCAGCAAGGGTGGCTTCTGCACAGACCCTGGAGCGCCTGCCTCCTGGCTCTTGGCTCCCAGTGTCTGATGGATGGCTTCTGTCTGGAGAGTTGGAGTAAAGAAGACCCAGCAAAATGGTCGAGTACACGTAAGTCAGCCACAAAGTAGCATCCAGCTGAGAATGAATAGTAATTGTCTTCAAATTAGGGAGAGCTGGATTCAATTCTCTTCTACTACAAGGATAGAGCAACGATGTGAGTCCTTTGGCATCCGGGTCTTATTATCTGTAAAGGTCCACAGCTGTGCCTCTGTCCCTCAAGGCATCTCAGGGAAGGGGGTGTGCTGCCCACATGGCATTGTCCGCCTCCAAGGCCACTTCAGGCTCAGAACACAGAATAGAGAGAGGGAACCTGGGATACCACAACTCACCCATCCAGACTTCTCCAAACTGCCCAGACCCAAGCTTCCGGACCAGCTTGAGAGACTGTCTGGGAATTTCCCATTCATCTTGTGCCCAGGGATTCTTTGGGGCTGGGCTCACACAGGGTAGGGTCAACTTCTGGCACAAACCATCCCCTTTCTCTGTATCAGGGAAGAAAAGAGGAGCTAGAGGCCATCAGAGCAAACTTCCCTTAGGTACCACACTGTCTCCTCCCTCCCAATGTGGCTGGCAGGACATGGTATCTGGAACCCATACTCTCTGAGACTTCAGGTCCCTGCTACTTTTCAAGCAGCCCCATGTCAAGCATTAGGCCACTGACCTTGAATCATCAAGTCAAAACTTGGCAGTTCCTTAAGTCTGACTTGTTGGACCTCCACCCAACTGATTCATATGGTTTGGGATCATACAATAGAGAACCCAAGAGTTCCTCCGGGACCCTCCTGCCCCAAAACCTCTTACTGGAATAGTGCTGCACCAGGGCCTGGAGGGTGGGGAAGGTGATCCGAGGGGAGATGTAACAGCCGCCGTCATCTAGTGAGCGGATCTTATAGTGCTTGACCATTTCCCCCTGGGTGGTGACATCCTTCACTGACAGGGAAAAGGCACCTAGAGGGTTAATAGACGCGTGAGAAGTGAGGCAGGAATGTAAGCCCAGGACTGGGGGGGGGTCCTGTGATCTGAAAAAGGCACCTCCAATTCAACAAGAATTTCCTTTCCTTTTGTCTTTACTCTCCTATAACACACCCTATTGGCTGTCTGACCCAGACTTCCCCTCAAGTCCCCAAACTGCCAGGGAACGAGGAACTCTGGGGAAGACAGGACCATTTCTCAACTGTACATGGGCCTTCCGCTGAGGTGCCTTAGGTACTGAGAAATGGAGGGTTGCTAGGGGCTTGGAGTTTTAATATCTTTGACTTGAGGGCTGATGACTCCTTCCCCAGAGAAATGGCCAGTCAGGGCCTCCAGTTCCATGCCCTTCCCAGAAGCATAGCAAGCTATTCCCCAGAGGTCTTTCCAAATTAGCGCTGTCTTTTATAGTCCATGTTGACTTTTTTTTTTTTTTTTTTTTTGGTCTTTCCAGACAGGGTTTCTCTGTGGCTTTGGAGACTGTCCTGGAACTAGCTCTTGTGGACCAGGCTGGTCTTGAACTCACAGAGATCCACCTGCATCTGCCTCCCGAGTGCTGGGATTAAAGTCGTGGGCCACCACTGCCTGGCCTATGTTGACATTTTTTGTATAGACAAAGAACAGGTGGCCAGGGGTCAGTACACAAGAAGAGAGAATCTTCAGCTAAGAAACTTTTTCCTTGAGCCTTTATAAAATTCCTTGTCCTGTGGCTGCCGCCGAATCTCCCACTTTCAAACTCTTTATTCAGAGGTGGGGACAATGAATGGACGTCACTTGAACAGTTATCAGCAGGCTTGGGAGTGCAGGGGCACCCCGCCCTCCCTGTGTATACACCTTTGGGAAGCAGTCCCACCTTCCACCACAAGGGGTCAGGCCTGGACACCTCTCTGCACGAGGACCTAGATATTGTGCAGGGCTGATTGTTTTGGGTACTTTTCTGTCTCAAGCCCCTTCCCTGCTTGGGTCTTCCTTGGCCATTGTGTCCCTCACAGCCTACTTGTGACAGAAAGCCAAGAGGCTGCACTCCTATCCAACACACCCTGAGGTTGCCACAGCCCTTGCCCCTGGACCTTAGCCCTCCATCGGATACTGCAGACTTCCCCGCTCCATCTGGCTCGTGACAACCATGCCTCAGTCTCTAAGGCTCCAGAGCAGGCACTATTGAGTTCATTGTCTTCACACCAGCACAGTGAGGTCAAGAGCTTTTCTCACCGGGATGCTGCACCTGTGTGGGCACCTGGCTCTACGCTGCAGTATTCCTTTCTTTTCCTTCACTAGATGCAGCTTCTGAAGCTTGACGTCCTCCAAGGTCCTGCCTACCTTATGGTCCTGCCTACCTTATGACAACAAGATATTCTTAAAGAGCACCCCAATACTGTCAGCTCCATGTCCATGGGACCACCTGCCTTTGGGAATGTCTGGACTGCCTGGGGCATATGGAGAAGTATGGGTTTGTTTTTGTTTTTTTCCAAAGCAGGGTTTCTCTGTGTTTCCCTGGCTGTCCTGAAAATCACTCTATAGACCAGGCTGGCCTCGAGCTCAGAGCTCCATCTGCCTCTGCATGCTGGGATTAAAGGTATGCACCATTACACCTGACTTAGAATGGGTGCTTAAACATTTATTTTTATTGTATGTATATGAGTGTTTTGCCTTCTTGTATATTTGTGTACCAGGTGTGTGCAGGGCTCAGAGACCAGAAGAAGGTGTCAAATTTCCTGGGATTGGAGTTACAGACAGTTGTAAACTGCCACGTGGATGCTGGGAATTGAACCTGGTCCTCTGGAAGAGCAGCCAGTGCTCTTAACCACTGAGCTATCTCTGTAGCCCCACCGTTTCTTTTAAGACGTATTATTTCTATTCTTTTGACAGTTTTGACATTGTATAATGAGTCATAGTCATTTTCCCTCACCGCCACCCTCTCTCGTCTCTTACCCTCCCCCACAGAACCCTTTCCTTATAGACTCCTTAACGCTGAATACTCCATCTACCTTCAGCAAGACATTAGTGGGTCCTCACATAGAAACCAGATGCGTGAGAAGCTGAGGGGCATCCCAAGGGTCACACAGGACTCTGAGGCAGCTTCTTGCTTGGTTTGCAAATGAAGGCTGTGGCTTTGCAATGCAGGGTGGGATTCTGCTTCGGAATTATAAGGAGCATGGGTTTGCACCTGGAGCATCCCATGGTGCTGAATGAAAAACAGCTGTAGAAGGCTAATGGGGAACTAAAGCTTAAAGGAAAAGAAGGACTCCAGGTTGGAATTGACATGTGAAGCAACCTTGTTTCTAATTTAAATTTAAATTTAAAAATAAATAAAGAAAGAAAGGAAGAAAGAAAGAAAGAAAGAAAGAAAAAAAGGAAGGACTCCAGGCAAGCCAACCACCTCTCAGGGAAGAGGCCAGTGGAGGAGTGAGGGGCTCTTCTACATCTAGAATGTTCTGCCTTCTGGCTGTGGTTGCATGAGGGTTTTCTTAATTGCTCTGCATAATTTATAATCACTCACAGTTTTTGCATGCATTGTATATGCTTCCTATTTTATAATAAGAAGGGTATTAAGGAGCTGGGGGTGTAGTTCAGTTGGTGTAGTTCAGAGGGCTGGACTAGTGCTTAAGGGCCTGAGTTTGAGTCCCAGAACAACAAAAACACGTGAGACTTCCTAGTCTCTAAAATAAAAGATATTAGAAAGCAATGTCAGTTGGATGTGGTGTCACATGCCTGTAATCCCAGCTCCCAGCAGAGGCAAGTGGAGCAATGTAAGGTTAAGGTCAGCCTGTTCTACATGGCATGACTGTCTAAAAGTGCAAGAAATAAACAAGGAGAGGGATGGGGAGAATATTATTTAGAAAATGGCAGGGAGGAGGGCAGAAGGAAAAACAGTGACCTGAGGCTGGTGGCAGCAACTTAATCAGTCAGGCAGATTTGAATCTCCGAGTCTTGGGTGTTGGCACTGATTTTGTTGTTGTTGTTGTTGTTTGTTTATTTTTCAAGACCAGGTTTCTTTGTGTAACAGTCCTGGCTGTCCTGGAATTCATTTTGTAGACCAGCTGGCCTCCAGCCCACAGAGATCCACCTGTCTGTTCTGAGTGCTGGGATTAAAGGTGTGCACCACCACACTTCTAATTCACCAGCCACTGCCTCATCTACATGGAGACACAGGTCACTTCCCAACCTCCCGAGACCTGCCAGCCTCTGCCCCAGATGCCGGCTAAAGATTTGCTGAGCTTCTTGACTCTTTTTTATTACTATTATTATTTAAATTAGAAACAAGCTTGTTTCACATGTCAATCCCAGCTCCCTCTCTCTCTCCTCCAACCCCCTCCAACCTCTCCAATCCCCCACCCAATCCCCACTCCACTCTCCAGGGAGGGTGAGACCCTTCATGAGGGATCTCCAATGTCTGTCATATCATCCAGGGCAGGACCTAGGCCCTCCCCCAAGGAAACCTTCTAGTAGGGCTTCTACACAGCTAATGTGTGCGCATGTCCATCTGACTGAGGATTTTACACATGCCTGTAAACTCTGTTTGCAACAAAGCTGTGGCTTTGCATTAGCACCAAAACCAAGAGGATTTGATAACAGCGACTGCATCTGAAGTCTGGAACCTTACACACCACATGTCTTCCTGGTACATATTCCACATAACCTAGCTCTGAGTATTGAAAATTCATCAGGATTCTGGGAGGCTCTTTCAGCCCTTCCGTCATTGGTGAAAGCTACTTCCCAGACAGGCTGTTTCAATCTTGCTCCTATGTGTCTTTCTGTTTCTCCTTGCCTAGGTTCTTCATACACACACACACACACACACACACACACACACACACACACACACACACACACACACACGCCCTATCCTTCTTCTGTGTCCCCCACACTGCTCTTGACCCCCAAGATCCAGTCCAGACCCCAAGTAACAGCACTGTGTTCCTGAGAAGGTTGTATCCTAAGCAGTTTGAATGCTATAGCAATCATATCATGAACTAGACAGCTTACAGACAATAAGCATTTATTTCTCACTGTTCTGGAAGCTAACAGCCTAAACTCAGCATGACTCTTTTTTTAATATTATTATTTTTTATTTATTTTACATACCAACCACAGTCTCTCCCCCTCCCCTCCTCCTTCTACCCCCCACCCCTTCTTGACTCTTTGTTCTGGGGACAGAGAGCTATAATGTACACTCTTTTCTCAGCCCCCCCCCCCCACTGCACTAGTTTATGACCTCGGTGGCTTAGGGCTTTCCGCTACCCCTGCCATCCAGGTCCCAGTGAGTCTTGGGGCCAGGGAACAGTGGGTATGGACAGCCTCAAGGCCAGCTCCCAGGCAGGAACACAGGACAGAAGCCATCAGGATCCCTGCCCACTCCGGACTGAGGCCTCAGGGAGGGCTTCCCAGGGTCACACACAGCACGTGGGGCGGTGAGGCCGTCGGACTCACCTTTATTGCTCTCACTCTCTCTGATGAGAAAGGCACCAGCCTTGTTCATCGGAGCCAGCAGCTGCCTCTCAGCATCCTTTCGGCTGATGGTCCTGAAGAACCATCTGGAAAGCAGAGGGAGTGGGTAAGCCTCAGAGTTAGTGACACCTCCCGTCCAAGTCAATCCTGAGGTGGTCCTCACATCTCCTTCAGTTAGATGCCCCCAAGTCCCCGCAACCCCATTCCATCCCACCTCCCATCAACTTCTAGACTCACGTTTCCCATGACTGAAAGGAGAACCTGGGCTAGGTAGCCTCTATTAGTGTCGGCCTACAAAACCACACCCAATGCACTGCCTTCCCCCTGCACCAGATGTTGCCATTTTCTTGCCATTTGAGTGAATAACGGTACTGCCAGAGGTTTTCTGGATTCCTTCCAAGTCCCCTCTCTTCAGCATGGGGCTTTTGACATTTGTGGTTGGATGTAGAATATTCCCTACAGGCTCCTATGTTTGAGTATGAAGTCCCAAGCTAATGGTGCCATTTGGGGAGGTAGTGGAACCTTTGGGATATGAGGTCTAATCGGAGGCCGTGGGGGCTGACACTTGTGGCAACAAGCCAGCTCAGCTTCCCTGCTGGAGAGTCAGCTTCTTCCTGGTCCACTGAGATGTGAGAGGTCCCCGGTTGAACATTCCTACCACCAAGAATTCTATTAAGACTTCCCCATCATGATGGACTGTACTCTCTCAAACCATGACAAAAGACATAACAGACACAGCATGGTTCTGGAGAAACCCAGGGCCCACAGTGTGTGGGAAGAGAAGGAGGCAAGAGTCACCACTAGGAAGGGGTGGGTGCCCATGTCTCTGCACCATGTGAGGGAGTAGGTGAGTGGCCCAGGTGGGCCTTCCTGGTGTGTGGAAGCGGGAGAGGAGGATGCTGAAGAAGCCTCTGGAGACCATCCCTGGAGGTGGTGGGAGTAGGACATAGAACCTTGCTATGGATTCTGGAGGGGACCAGATGCTGGGGACAATCTCATCCAGAGAAGCCAGGAAGCAGGTGGCTCTGCTTTCAGATGGGAAGACAGGCTCCCTTGGCATCCCTGAGAGTTAGAAGAGATCCAGAACCTCTGATTCCCAACCCCTCATCAACAGTCACTATTAACTCACTTCCTGACCCTGCCATCCTCAGAGTGGCTAGAGCTTCCCTGGCAACACGACTTGAAGTAATTTATCCACCTACTTTTCTACTTCCAGGGTCTCCACTGGGGCCACAAAGTTGCTGGGCACATAGCCTTCTCTTCCAGTGATGAGTGATCTGGCCAACCACCAGTCTCCAGCGCTGGTGGGAAGACAGGGAGACAGGAAAATGACAGAGACCCACCCAAGACGTTTTGGTCAGCTCCCAGTACCCCACAACAGATCCCATTCTGGTAGGAGACCAGATGGCAGAGATGTCTAGGCAGCCTGGTGATCAGGAGGAACTGTGTGGGTGTCCATCCACTATGTGGAGCATGTGACAGACAGACGGGGTCATGGTGCAGAGTAGGAAAGGAAAATTTGTCCATACAGTCGACTGACCCAAGGACCATGTCCTCTACTAAGCAGGCCCTGTCTCAAAGGATGGGACATGTACTAAATTTATGGAATGAGTTGGGACTAGCTAAGGAAACAAAACCCAGAGGATTGCTGACAAGGGAAGTGAAAACCTATGTAGGGTCAAAGGTCAGGGCACGTACCGGTTCAGCTCAAACCCACTACAAGACTTTAGGAACAAAATCAGACCTTGGGGTTCTGTGGTGTAGGCTTAAAGGGTGGAGAGAGGGAGAGGGGGAGGGGAGAACACAAGCAGACACTGGAGGGTGTCCCGAGAAAGAACACAGGAAATAAGCCCGACGGAGGAGAAGACTGGAAGCAGAAATGACCTGGCCAGAAAGCTGTCGGGGGTGGGGTGGGGGGGCAGTAGAGAGGGGCGTGGCAATAGAGAAGAGCCTAAGGGTGCCCCAGGGATGGGGTGGGTGAATGAGGGGCGTGGACGATGGGGAGGGGTCCTTTCCTGACAGGGGACTGTAGTCTACAGATTTATGGCATGGGTGAACGAGGGGCGTGGATGATGGGGAGGGGTCCTTTCCTGACAGGGGACCGTAGTCTACGGATTTACCTCTTCACAACCTGGAGCTTCTCTCCCTTTAACACCTGCAGGTCCCTGTCATTCACCGCCGCATAGTCAAACAGGGCCACCACAAAACGTTCCTCTGAAAAGAACAAGGAAAAGATGGCTACCACTGGGGTCTGCAACAGGGGTGGAGGTCTGGGGGATTGTGTGGTGCAAGCCTTCTTCCAACTCCTAAGATAAATAGTGACAGGAAAGCCACACGAGGCTACTCCTCGGACAATGAAGGAGGAATTCTCGGGAAGTGACACCCAGACACATGCCCACTCTATAGGCTGGCCCTCACGACCTAGCTCGTTTTCCTTTCAGACCTAAGGCCGGGACAAAGATTTGAGAGGACAGTTACATGGAAGCAGCGATTGGCAGCTCTCAGAGGGCTGTAGGACCAAGTCTGGGAGCCAGTAGCTAACTGATCCTGCATCCTCTGAAGCATCCCCTCAGCATCCTTCCCCAGCCTCTATCCCGGAAGTCATGTGACCACTCTTGCCCTGTCCTCTCCATGGTGTTTGTGCCCAGAGCTCCCCAGTGACTCTCAATCACCTGTCCTTCTTGGAGGACTGTTGACATGCTGGAGGTCCTGAAGCAGCTTGGGAACACGGTAGACCACATTTCAAATGGTCACTGTTTGGCACCAGGGATCCCTGAGTACCTGGCAGAATCTCTTGGAGACTTGTAGATTGCAGACGACCTAACATTGTCTTGGATGAGTGATATGGCCAGAGGCTGGGACCTTCCCTTGGTGAGAGGAGGTTTGGCATGGATTACAGTTATCCCTCCCCAGCCTCCATTCTAAAGATGAGACGCCCCCTGCTAGAAAGTGAAAGATCACCTATCTGATGGGAAACATGGTGTCCCTAGTCGGGTAAGGGATACCAGGTGGCAACACTGACCAGTTCCAGCACTTTGCCCATAAAGATAACAAGCTGATCTCTCCCAGGGCAGGAGAAGTGTGTTCCCCACTGTGGCATCTTCCCCTGTCCTGGAATACGGTGGTCGGTGTGCTGCATGCTCCATATTCCCAGGGAGTGAGTGAGTGAGCGAGCGAGCGAGCGAGTGAGTGGAGTGAGTGGAGTGAGTGAGTGAGTGAGTGAGTGAGTGAGTGAGTGAGTGAAGGGATGGCTGGTGTGATTGGGGGATTGGGGATGTTATGGAGGTCAGTTCCATGGAGGCCTTCAAAGCCAGAGTCACAACCCAAGAGGAGGCTTGCTCAGTATGTGACCACCATAGAGCAGAGTGGAGCCTGGGATGGAGGACTTCCAGCACGTGGTCAGAAGGTTCCCAGTGGAGACTGGACATAGGCGGAAAGAGGGAGGTAAGAAGTTGTCCTCCACATGGACCAGGCCTCTCTCTGAGAGGGAAGGACACAGCAGCAGTCCTGCTGCCCTTTTGAGTCTGGGAGCTAGAGTCTCCAAGTCAGGCCTCGACGGTGCCAAATCCACTCCTGTAACTCCTTCCTTTGCCTCCTTTGTAGCATGCAGAGTGTTTTCTAAGCTCCCAGCTTCCCCTGCTCCTCTCAAGTCCTATAAGGCCCAACTGCTCTGGTTCTAACACAAGACGTTTCCTGGAGAGAAGCTTCAGTGCCCCATTCTTACCTTGACCTGGGTGCTGCTTAGGAGACGGAGGAGCAAGGTGGTTGAAGACAACCTTGGGCAGAAGTACACTGAGTTAGTGAACCGTCTGTAGGGAAGGGAGACTAAAGGTGGCTAGATTACCTGTGGGGACCCACTCTGAGGAAGGCGGGTGGCCACCACACGGGGGGTACTTAGATAAATTCTGTATACACTATCAACTCCTTGGAGTACCGTCGTCACCCCCAGGCCACCTGCCATCCTTGCTTTGACCATGCACAGAGATGCTGCAGCTTCAAAGGGGAAAAAGCCCGGTCACCTTGGTTAAAATTCTGGCTCTACCATTAAAGAAGTTGCAGACAGGCATTTACTGGTAAAGAAAAGTATCCTAAAATTTTGTTTCCCTAGAACTCGTTCAATATTCACTGATGTCTATCCAAAGGGTAGACTCCTGAACATTTGTGCCAGGACACAACACAAGGATATGCCTAGTTTAATAATAGTTACACGTAGAGCATTTTTTCATTATGGGAATAGCCCTTACAACCCGTGGCAGAACAATGAAATGATGCGCTATTATCTACAAATATCACAAACACCGTGCTGGGCATGGACTTTATCCTCCTGAAATGGGAGCCAGAGTAAACTCTTCTTGAAGCTGCCCCAGTCACAGTGTTTTACTGTGGCAACAGAGATGTAGCTAAGGCAGGTACAATAAGACCAGATGCCTCACACTCCTGATGCTGTGACTTGGCTATGATGGACTGTAACCTTGAGCCATGAACTAAATGGTTGAAGAAAGGGCCTTGGGGCAGGAGCTCAGGAGAGACGATTCTAAGTGTCTCTGGCAAGTGGGATTGTAAGGGACTGTCATCTTTCTAAAGTTAGTGTGCATTACACAGCCTTTAAATGTTAGGGTCTGAGGCCGGGCGGTGGTGGCCCACGCCTTTAATCCCAGCACTCAGGAGGCAGAGGCAGGCAGATTTCTGTGAGTTAGAGGCCGGGCTGGACCGACAGCCTCCAAAACAATACAGAGAAACCCTGTCTCGTAAAACCAAAAAAAAAATTCCTGATAGTGAACTTGATGTCTATAACCATCCTGGAGCCTTCATCCAGTGACTGATGGAAGCAGAGGCAAACACCCACAGTTAAACACTGAACTGAACCCAAGGAACCCAACGACAGAGAGAGAGAGGAGTGAAGAGCAAATTGGCAAAGAATGGGCTGGCAAAACCAGCAGAGACAGCTGATCCGAACAGGGGAGAGCTCTTGGACCCCAGACCAACAGCTGGGAGGTCCCAGCATGGGACCGATCCAGACCCCCCTGAATGTGAGAGTCAATGAGGAGGCCTGGGCTACCTATGGGGTCCTGAGCAGCGGATCAGTGTTTATCCCTCGAATACTAACAGACATCGTGTGTCCATAGCACAAAGAGCGATGCTCTCTCAGCCTGGACTCTTAGGGAAGTGCCTGGACCCTACCCTGAATGAAATGATAGACTCTAGATATCCCCTATGCGGAAGGAATTGGCAATAGGGTGGGAGGATGGGGGGTATGGCGGGGGGGTTGCGGGAGGAGGAGAAGGAGAGGGAACTGGGATTGACATGTAAAACAAGTTATTTAAAATAAAAAATATATATAAAAAACAAAAAAAGTTAGGGTCTGGGTTTCTGCTGGTTAGTATGTCACTTCAGGGAAATAACCTGACCTGTCTAAAAGTTTGAAGTTGTCTATATTCATTCATTTATCCATCCATCCATCCATCCATCCATCCATCCATCCATCCATCCATCCAATAAACATCTTACTGTGTGCACTTGGACACAGCTAGCAGAGAGGCCAGGGTTCATCTATAAAAGAGAGCCAGCAGTCTCTGCTAGAATCTTGGTAATCCCCACAGTGACAGACAGGGCAGGACATCAGACCAGGCATGGTTCCAGTTGCCCCTAAACTAGTAGACTGTGACCCAGCAGGAAATGGAATTAAACAGCCATCTAGACACCAAAGGGGCTGGTTCAGGGAGTCCCGCATGCCTTAAACCCTCTCCTGGAAGGGGCTGATCACTTACCAGGGGTGGCAGGGGTGGGGGGGCCTTGCTCTGGGCCTGGGCCTTCACGGGGCTCCATCCTTTTCCCTTCTCATTGCCAACCTGCCTCTTGCTGCTCAGGAGCCCCATCCTATAGGAGAGTACATGTCAGACAGTAACAAGAGACCCCAAGCCCCTGGGTCCCTGCACCCAACCTTCTTTTGGTTAGAAATAGAGCGTGGGAGAAGAGGCTGAAAGAGCTAAGCTGGTATCCATCTTTTTCCCAGTGACCCAGAGAGGGAAAATGGCTGTTTAGGACACAGACATCACCTGGCATGGGTTCCAGTTTCTCAGGGACAGGGGCCTGGGCAGAGGAGTCATCTTGATCCCACAGGAGCCTGACCCCGTTGTCTGGCGGTCTGGGTTTTAGTCTTATTTTGCCAGTGGGTCACTATGTCACTGGGAAGTCCCTCTTCTTCCCTGGGCTCGTGGGCCCTCTGCCAGTGCTGGGATTTCATTTGAGCATGTCTAATAGGGTGCTCTGTAGCTGGGGTTTTCAGGTGAGACGCCAAATGCAGAGGACAGACTGACAGCTAGCATGGCAGGCACTGAAGTCCAACCATAGTTGCCCAGTGACATTGGAAATGTTGTGAGATTACGATCAACATTGTAGCAGATGTGGAAAAGATTCAAATCCAGACAGCAAAATAATACATAATGTTTTCTCTGTTATTTTGATTACTGATGGGGTAAGGATGCAGATTTAAAAAAAACTAGAAAACAGAGGTATAAAAAAACAGAAAATTTTAAGACTGTGTATGTGTGGCTGTTAATGCAAAGCAATGCCCAGAAGAAGATATTTCTAGAATGTTAATAGTGTTACTGCAGACAGTAGGGCTTCATATGACTTTTGTTTTCTCCCATATAATTTCCTATATTCCCTGAACACTTCAAAAGTAAGTATACACTCTTGAAGAAGAAAAGTTAAGAGAACATCTTAATAATTTGCCTAGCAACAGTAGTACTTAGGACCTGGGAAAGAACAGTATTTGAATAGACAGCAAGAGACTGGGTCTCAAGCCTTTCCTAGCCTCCCCATCTCCCAGGCTCAATGACAAGTCAGTGGGCAGCAGGTTCTAGAACCTTCTCTGCCCTTGGAGATCTGCCCCTGTTCAGATGAACTCATTGTTGCTTTCCTCCAGCTAGGCAGCCACCAAATCTGAACTTTCTGGGACAACTTAACCAGCAAAATTGAATATTTAAAGACCCTGACAGAAAGTTCAGCTCATAACCCATTACTTACATTCTATGAACAACTGACTTTCCAGGGCTTCAGGGAATTCACCGGTTCTCAATGAAGACTAACTACAAACTAGTCACTCAGAAGACTGTGTGACAACTTTCTTTGTGACTGCAGATTCAGGGTAGTTGGAGACAGGAAGTGTGTAAGTCCACCTGAGCAGAGGGAGCACATGTAACTCTGGTGTTATTGGTTTCATCCAGTAGACAATGGCCTCCCATCCAAGAAAAGATGGGAGGACGGTGTGAGTCTACGTGTGTGTGTGTGTGTGTGTGTGTGTGTGTGCTTTGTGGGTTACCCAAAAGAGAACAGGAGACTTTTGCTGCTTAGAAACATACTTGACCACCATGCAGACTCTCACAAGAGCCAGGAGGTCCCTGCTTGCCCCTGGGGAAGTGCTCAAAGCTCGAAACCCAGCCTCAGCCCAACGGGATGTGGCGAAGGCAGCAGTTAAAATCAGAGAGCAGACACCACTTATTTACACCTGTGGTGTGTGTCATGGTTGAAAAGCATTCGACAGGTCTAGTTTTGATATTTGTGATAGCACCGGGGGCCGGGCTGCAATAGTCCTTGCATCTGAAGCCAGAGATCTAGGGAGGCTTTAAGGCAACATGGAAGGTGGCATCTCTGACCTGAGACCAGCTCACACAGGAAACAAGTGGACAGGTAACCCACCAGGACAGTTCCAGTCCAGATCCCTGCCTTCTCCCCTGCAAGGGATGCCACCTGCCCACAAAGCTTTCAAGGCCACTGCTTTCTCCCCATTGTTCCAGCAACACTAGCCAGGGGTTGGGTGACCAGAGCTCAGGACAGCCTGTTTTTGTGAACATGGGCAAACCATTTCAATTCTTTGAGTCTGTCTCCTTGTCAGTGGGAAGGTATGAGTCCATTCCTAGCACCACAGACAAAGCCTTCTGAAGGAGGTGCCCTTGAATGTGGCTGAGAAAGTTGAATAATTGACCTCTCATCTGGGATGGGGTCCAAGAGCTCTCTTTCTGCAGAATTAAACCAAGTACAAAATTCTCAATTCCATCTTGTCCATTTGGCTTGTCTCTGCAATCCATTTCCCAGCTGGTCACAAATACATTTTAATTATGCTTTCCTGTGACAGTTGGGTATGTCTATTTGTGTAAAATAAGGGGAAAGGGTACCAAAAACATTGAAACAATTGTGGGAAGACTGTTGCCTGGGTAAGAGCAGTTGTCTGGACATCACTGGCTGCAGTCCCAGGGCGGTTGTGACTACTCAGTCACTCCCTGACTGCTCCTGTCTGGGCTCAGGGCGCAGATGATTGGGCAAGCTGATGCATAAAGGGCAGATATGTAGGTTTAAAATTAAAGGCCAACAACTTATACATCATTAACAAATGCTGTTGCCCAGTGCACCCTATTCTCCTGCCCCAGCTTTGACTAGTTGCATTTCATTGGTTCGTAAAATACAAGTCCTATAGAATGTTCTGTATTTTGGACTTTGCTTCCTTGTTATGGTTTGTAGCTCCCCTTCCTCCATGCACCACTTTCTGTCTTTCTTATACAAAACCACAGGCTCTGTTTGATTCAGAAGCATCTTTTCCTAGCAGGGATGTTCCCTAAGGGTGACGTATGCTATATAGGAGGAACACATTGTAATGATGCTAAGATGGATCAAAGTTCAGGTGGTCTGTCCCCAACAATGTTCTCACCAACATTTCATCCGATTTTTCGTTGATAGATTAAAAAAAAACTAGCACTCAGATTTCATCATGGGTTTCACGTCTGTTATTCAGGAGTTGAGAGAAGAAATGGCCAGAACATGGGAACCCCAGAAAGACTGCCAATCATAATCCTACCACAGGCAGGTATTTTCCCAAGGACATTTGAGGCAGAAATGTGTTCAGAAATGAAGATCTTTCATTAACTGGATTGTAGAGTGTATATCAGAACTATTTACGGGAACACAGTACAAGTTGTATGCAATACTTTTTAAAGACTGCTAACTGCTAATTTGTGACTAGCAAGATCGCTCAACAGTTAAGAGTGCTGGCTGCACCTTTCAGAGAACTGTGGGTCAATTCTCAGTACCTAAATAGCAGCTCACAACAACCTGTAACTTTAGTCCCAGGGGATCTGATTCCCTCACCTGTGGTGCACAGACATACCTGCAGGCAGGGCACAGACAAACAAACAAACAAATATTTATTTTTAGAGAGCTGAATACTTCAGCTAGTTCAAAGTCATTTCCCATCAAGGGATTAACCACATGCACCGGTTAATTTTATGTCAACTTGACACAAGCTAAAGTCATCCAAAATGAGGGAACTTCAATTCAGAAAATGCCTCCATAAGACCAGGCTGTAGGGGCTGGAGAGATGGCTCAGAGGTTAAGAGCACTGACTGCTCTTCCAGAGGTCTTGAGTTCAATTCCCAGCAACCACATGGTGGCTCACAACCATCTACAATTCAATCTGGTGTATATGTAATAAATAAATAAATCTTAAAAAAAAAGACCAGGCTGTAGGTAAGCCTGAAGGGCATTTTCTTATTTAGTGATTGATGGATGAGGGTCTAGTCCATTGTGTGTGGTGGTGCCACCTAAGGGTGGGTGATCTTGAGTTCTGTAAGAAAGTAGGCTGGGCAAGGCATGGGTTGCAAGCCAGTAAGCAGCCCCCTCCATGGTCTCTGCATCAGGTTCCTGCCCTGTCTGAGCTCCTGTCCTGACTTCCTTCAGTGATGAACAATGATGGGGAAGTATAAGTGGAACACACCCTTTCCTCCCCAGCTTGCTTTTCGGGCATGATGTTTCGTCACAGCAATAGGAACCCCAACTAAGACACTGTATCTGACCCTACTTAGCTCCCAGTAGTTTATTTTCCCAACATGCGCCATGGGCTTGACAGAAGCATGTGGCTGAGTGAGTGAGGACCTCTGGGGCGTGTGTGGCTCCGTGTAAAGGGACAGGCTTACACGTGACTGAGGCACAGTGAGGAGGAGGCACTCCTGTTGCCACTTCCATTTCATAACACCCAATCATTTCTGCGGTGGAAATCCTCCCACCCCCTACTGTAGTAAATCTGCTAGAGAAGGTTTTCTGATGATAAACAATTTGAGGGTTCCGAGCAGAGCTTCAGGAGGGAAGCTGACCTTCTCATGAGGCTGCCTGGAATACGAGACATTCCTGCGATGCATCACCTATGTGACACTCTGACATATTGTGTGATTATGCGAATAAATAAAATCCCTTTGTGTGAATCAAAATTCTTCTTGGAGGGAAATCACATGCAAATTTATGTTAAAAATCCCCCATGGGTGATCATGGGAACATGTTAGTGATCTGTTCTTGTGTCAACGTAGCTTCGCTCGTATCTTGCATTAGTCGCATAAGGGTCATAATCTACTCTTCAGTGTTTAGTTCTTTGTAACTTTTAACAATTCAATGAAATATTAACTCTCAAGCTCATCACTTCTTAATGGAGTTCATTCTTTGGCTGGCAAAGGATTCTGGAAACCGGTTTTGTGCACTAAGCAGTTGACCTGAGCCCCCCAACAGTTCTGCCTCAAAGGTGGGGGTGGGCTCCAGGATCTGCATTTTAAGATCAGTGATCAGACTCATGCTACTTCACACAGATGCTCTTACCTGCTTTCACTTCCGGAGTATGATTGTAACAGGGACCGGTAGTCCCATAACCCTTCCTTTGATTTTGCCACAAAAAATGCTAATTGTCCTCTTGTCTGTCAGTGAAATGCCTCTTTTCTGTGGCATCCATACACATATTTCTTACATGGCACTGTGCTTCCTGCGTAGTTTGTGGCTGGGGAAACAGTTTTCCTTTCTGTACTTGCTCGGACCTCTGTGGTACTTTCTGGCTTGCAGAA